TGCGAGAGGGGGCGTGGGGGGTCTCGCGCAACGCCCGCTCCCGCGGAAATTCTTTTTCCATTGCATGCATCACGTCGGGCTTCCAAAAGCCAGCGTGCAGCTCTTCGTGATGGACGCGTTTACGAGCGACGCGCCGGCGTTTTGCCAGCCGTGCCAGCCATCTGCGACGAGCGAGTCTCCTACGAGCACCCTCGACACGCTCATCGAGCCCACGATCTCTTCGCCATTCATGGCACTGCGTCTGGACGACGACCTGCGAATCATCGCCTCGCTACCTGCGAGCTGTGTGAGCATCGAGAGCCTCTCTGACGACGACATCTTCTACATCCTCAAGATTCTCAGCGCTTCTGCCGCGATACTTCCGGCCGTGCTGTCGTGCACGCGCATCCGAGCCGTGCACCAAGCGCACACCGGCCTCTGCGTTGAGTGCGTCGGCTGCGGCCACAGCTGCGCGCCCAAGCTTCGCACGTATCTGACCGACCTCGCCGCCCGCATGGAACTCCTCTCGTGGGCAATGAGCATCGGCTGCCCGTATCCGCACGAGATGTCGACCGATATCCTCTGCACCGCCGCCGCCGTTCACGGTGATGTCCGCGTGCTGAGGTTTGCTCTCGAGGCCGGCTGCCCCGTGGAGCGGGCCGAGGGCTCGGACACGGACATTCACTCGTACTACTCTGGACGCAGCGCGACGATCCGCACCGCCGCCGCGAACGGGCACAACGATTACGTCGTCGCCGCGATCGAGTCGGGCTGCGAGTGGGGCAACAACCCGATGTTCGACGCCGCCCGGCACGGTTAGGCCCCCCCCACCGGGCTACGGTTCTTGTGAAAGAGGCTGGGAAAGGGGTTGTGACAACCCGATGCTCATTACACCCTTAGGTAAGCTCGAGACGATGAAGCTGATGCACGACATGGGCTGCCCCATCAACGAGCATGTGAGCTACGCAGCTGCTCAGTACGCCGGCGTCGCATCCGACCAGCAAGAGAAGCGAGCAGTCCTCGAGTGGCTCGCTGAGGTCGGCGCGCCGATGGAGAAGGCGTGCGAGGGGGTGGCAGAGCGCTGCCTCAACTCTCACAACGACCCAAAGCGGGCCGGCCTGCAGGTCGAGGCGTTCAGATTCGCAGCGAGCAAGGGCGGCGCACTCAACGCCGCCGCGACCGCTCGGCTGCTGCTCGAGACGGAGTCCCTCGACACGGCAGAGTTCGAGTGGATCCGCAAGCAGGGCTGCGACCTTTCGGGGGTCGATGCGAGCTCGGCCGGTGCCCTCTGGAACTTCCACGCCTACGAGGGTGGACTGCAGGAGATCGAGCGCCTGTATGCGAGCAAGCTGCCGTGGCACGAGTGGGCCTTGCCTGCCGCGATCGACAGCCTCGACGACGAGCTTTCCGTCGTGAAGTGGATGGTTGAGGAGGGCTGCCCTGTGAGCGGGCGGGCGATGTACGCTGCGTGCTGCATTGGAGGCAAGCGAGTGCTGCCCCTCCTCGAGTTTCTCGACGCCCAAGGTGCCCGCCGGCAGACCTGGGCCTCCTTCGTCATCAACGAGGAGACCGATGACTATCCCGGCGACGAGCATCGCGTGTGGGCCGTCTCCTACTGCGGCGACGCGGCGATCGATTCGGGCTGCATCGAGACCTTTGAGTGGGTGATCAAGCGCGCCCCGGGTGCCTGGCTGCCTGTGCGCGCGTACTCCGCGGCGGCACGGCTCGGCCACAAGAAGATGCTCGAGTACCTTGTGGCAAAGCACCCTGCGTCGGGCTGGCAAGACGAGGAGGACGGGCTCGAGAGCTTTAGCACGCTCGGCTTCGTCATGCAGTCGTCGAATGGCCTGGGCGTTAAGCTCACGTTCGAGATGCTCGAGCTGTGCGTGTCGCTCGGCTGCCCGGTGTCGCCGGCTGCGTTCCTCGCAGCGGCCCGTCTCGACGTGTTCGCCGAGTCGTTCCAGTACATGCAGTGGCTCCTCGACAAGGGCTGCACGCTGACGCATAAGATCTGCTCGTCCGCGGCGGACGCGCCGGTGCAGTCGCTCCCTCGACAGCGCCTCGTCAAGGTTTACCACTTCAAGAACAAGGAGCTGCTGGATGAGCTGTGCGGCGGCGACCGGCCCGGTGGCATCGCCCAGTGGCCTCTGACTAAGGTGCAGTGGCTGCACTCGCGCGGTGTGCCCGTCGGCGCGGGAACGATGAACGCGGCCGCGAAGCACGGCAACGTCGGACTGCTCGCGTGGGCTCTCGAGCAGGGCTGCAAGGTGTCCGAGAACTCGCTCGACCTTGCGGCCTACCACGGACAGATCGAGGCGATGGAGTGGCTTGTCGAGCACGACTGCCCGATCGGCGCGAGGTGCACCTTGAAGGCCGCAGCGCAAGGGCGGCAGGCCGCGCTCTGCTGGCTGCTGGAGCGTGGGGCGCCCTTCGACAAGGCCAAGGCCAAGCGCGCTCTCCTCAAGGCCCAAGCCGCTAATGCGCCGGGAAGCGACGAGCGAAACGCAAAGCTCTACCGCCGGGCGACCTCAGCTTTGGCGAACGAGACGCTCTGGCGCTAAGCCGAGCGTGAGATACTGCTCCTGGTTGTGGGGAGGGAGGGAGGGAGGGGCAGGTTGCTCACGTCACACGTGCTCATGAGCGTGAAGGCGAGTCCTGTCGGGGTCTATGTCGGGGTCTAGCCTCCCTCACTGGCATGCTCTTCTCGCTCGCTTTGCTTGATATGCACATTCAACGCACGTATGCTGCGCGCTATATCGCCGCGGCAACGGCTTTAAAACCCCGCTTTCGCGGCGGGGAGACGCTCGAGCCTCGAGGAGGTGACGTCTCCCCGGAGCGGGTGAGACCGAGGCGAGCGCGCGACCCGCGACCGAGACGCAAAACACTATAAACAGACATGGACCCCCCCTTGCAAACCCCCTCCCCCCCGACGGCCCTGACCAGCCCCCGAGCGTGCCGAGGCCGACGCCAAACAGGAGCGCCACCGACGAGCTCGAGCCGTGCGGGCGCGGCAGCGAGTTGTACCAGGGCAGGTCCGACGAGCCGTCCATCGGCCCACCTCGCCGCCCGCCGCCGTCGGCGCGGCACACGTTGTAGAGCCGCGTCGGCAGGGTGGTCGCGTTGGGCGGGAGCCAGCCGCGCGCGTGCGAGTGTCCCCACGACCAGTGGGGCTGCAGCTCCGCCTTGAAGTTCATGAAGAACCAGCCGACGGCCGAGTTTCGAAGGAGGTGAGGTAGGCGGCGGCGGCGCGCGCCTGGGTCGCGGCCGGGGTCGCCGTCGCGGATGAGCTGCGAGTCGACAGAGTGGGGGCGGCTGTGGCGGCGTGGTGTCCGTGCCTGGTAGTCGTCCTCGTCCGCCCACCCCTTGCTGAGCGGGCAGAGGCCCTGGCGCGGCGCCGAGACGACGCCCGAGCCTCAGCCAGCATCGCCAAGCCGCTAGCACCGGCCTCCTCCGCCGCTTCGGTCGTCCGCTCCTCCTCGGCGTCCGTCCGCTCCGCGCCCTCTTGCCCCCCTGCCTCCTCCCGCGCCGCCGCCTGGGTCCCTACCCCGCGCCGCCACGCTTATATGCCCGCCGACGCCGCTGGGGTCGTGGACCTGGCAGGAGCCCCTTTTTATTTCTCCAGACTCCACAACGCACAAAAGTGGTGGGGCGAACTCACACCTCGAACTCAGCTCGCAATCCCTCGCCCTCCGCGGGGCGGGACGACCCTCCGACAACCACGCCGAATCGCCCGTGGGCGACGCGCCAGCCGCCTCGTTCGCTGCTCGAGTCGGCGGGTCGCCACGTCGACAGGTCTCGCCTGGACAGGCTAAGGCTCACGAGCTCGCTCTGCGACGGCTGGAGCGGCCGCGTCTTGACGAAGTGTCGGAGGACCAGCGGCGGCTCGCCTGCACTCTCGGGGTAGGACAGGTAGAGCTGTGCCACCTCCTGACCCTCCCTCGCGCCGTCGTTCTGCACGCGGAAGCTCAGGTTGAAGAGCGGCTGCTGCGCGTCGCCGCGCCCGTCCAGCGTCGCGCCGCCACCAGCGGAGGGTGCGGGCTCCGTCTCCCACGAGTAGGAGAAACGCGTGTACGAGAGGCCGTGCCCAAAGGGGAAGGCGACCGGTCTCTTGTGCAGCCCGCGCCATGCGAGCGCGAGCCCCTCGGTGTAGCTGCAAGACAGGCCCGCGCACGGCGGCGTCGCGTCCGCCTCCGCCGCCGGGAGGGTGAGCGGAAGCCTGCCAGACGGGCTGACGTGGCCGGAGAGGACGTCCGAGAGCGCGAGGCCGGTCGCCTCCCCCCCGAGAAAGAGGACGAGGGCGGCATCGGCGTGCTCCGCCCAGCTCGTCAGGATCGCGCCGGGCGCGAGGGCCACGACGATGAGCGGCGGCAGCCGCACGTGCGGCGGCGCGTCGACGGAGCGCGACGCGCGCGTCCTCGCGACGAGCTGCTGCAGGAAGTGGTCCTGATCGAGCCGGAGCGAGGGGCGGTCGCGCGACTCCTGCGTCACCCCGCCCCCGCACGCGATGGCCACGTCGAAGCCGCGCATAGCTGCCTCGGCGTCCGAGGAGCGATCCACCGGGTGGAGTGCCACGTCGTACCCGGCAGCCTCCAGACCGGCCAAGAGGCTCGCGTCGCCCGGAAAGAAGACTCGCCCCGACCCGCCGACCGTGTAGTAGTCCCCGGCTGCCCAGTCTTCGCGGGCGGCCCGACTTTGCCACGCCGAAGGAGCCGCGCAGGCGGAGCCGAGCAACGCGATCCTCAGCCGCCCCGCGGGGGGGTCGCGTTGCAGCGGGAGGACGCCCTCGTTCTTGAGGAGAACCACGGAGGACGCGGCCGCGCGGCGCGCGAGCGCGCGGTGCTCGGCCGAGGTGGAGACGCCGTCCATCATGAGCGGGCCGCAGTCACACCCCACGTGGCACGGCATCGCATCGTACGCGTCGGCGGCGAGGGCGCCGCGAACGACCCGCTCCGCCATCTGGCCAACGAGGCCGTGCGGCCGGCTGTCGCTCTCGCCGCTCGCCCCTCCGAGCCGGTAGAGGTCGAACCAGCCGTCGTTTCCGGGCATGTTCTGGTCGACGCCTCCCCGCGCTGCGTCGGAGGAGTGCACTGCCCACCAGTCTGACATCATCCAGCCGTCTGCAAAGCCGAGCCCGTCACGCAACTCGCTCGAAAGAGCCTCGCTTCCACAGGCGTGCTCTCCGTCCACCAAGTTGTACGAACACATGAAGGAGGCGACGCCCGCACGCACCGCCGCCTCAAAGGGCGGGTAGTACACTTCGCGCCGCGTCCGCTCGTCCACCTCCACGTCGACCGTCGCGCGGTGCGTCTCCTGGTTGTTGAGCGCATAGTGCTTGACCACCGCCGCAACCTTCTCCGACTGCACGCCCTGGACGTACGCTGCCACGAGCACCTCGCCAAGGCGCGGCTCCTCGCCAGACAAGTACTCGGCGTTGCGGCCGTTGCGCGCCACGCGGTGTACATTGACGCTCGGCCCGAGGATCACGTTTGCGCCCTTGGCGCGGAACTCGCGGCCGAGGGCAGACGCGAACTCGCGGGTGAGACTCGCGTCCCAGGACGCAGCGAACGAGAGCAGCGACGGCCACGCGGTGACCGTGCCGACCTGCGAGTCAAACATCGTGCGATACCCTTGGGCCGCGTCCTGCATGTGCAGCCCAGGCAGGCCGAGGCGCGGCACGCCGAGCACGGAGCCGGTGTACAGCCCTTCGGGCAGCGAGAAGCCCGCCCAACCGAAGCCCTGCACCAGCCGCCCCGCCTCCGCGCGAGTCATGTTTGCGACGAGCGCCGCGGCCGCCCCGGCCTTGGTGTCGCCCCACCGCCGCCACCAGCCGGGCGAAAGCCTCTGGAGGGGCTTCCTCCCGCTCTCGCCACCGCCATCAACCGCCTCGGAGAGCTGTCGCACCGCCTGCCCGCGCGACGGCCCGCCGCCCTGCAGCAGCGGCGCCGCACCAAAGGAAGCGCAGTAGCCGGCCGGGAGTTTGACGCCACCGCTCCACCCGAGGCCGATCGCCAGCAGCGGCCGCAACGTATCGAGCAGCGCCGTTTGCGGCTCCGACGGGACGAACAAGCAGAGCGTGGCGGACAGGGGCGCGACCGCGAGCGCGGCCACCGCACGCAGCCAAAAGACGCGCCGCCGCCCGCCCCCCGCCGTATTGACGCGGATGCCTCTTACCGCCTTGTCCGCTGTGCCGCCGCCTGGTCTGCCAGAGAAGGCGCGTCCGAGCAAGCCGGACCGCGCGGCCCAGACGGAGAGGACGAGCCCGGCCAGGGTGCCGGCGAGGGTCGAGACGGCGAGCACGCCCGCATTCAATATCTCCGCGTCGGCGCTGCCCCGTGCAGGAACGTGCGCCGCTGCGAGCAGGAGGAGGAGGCACACGGCCACGCTCGCAAGCTCTAGCGCGCCGAGCAGCGCGCCCGCCGAGCCGACCAGAAGCGGCCGCGCACACGCGAGGACGAGGCTGCCGACACGGCTGACGAACGACGGCTGGACGTACGGACTGAGGTCCGTCTCCTGCATCGCGAGCGCCACATCCTCGAGCTTTGAGCTGTTCTCCGCGCCGCTGCCCGCGCTGTCGCCGCTCGCCGGATCGACCTTCTCGGCGCCCTGCGACGGCAAGTGCTCGCCGACCGAGCCCGTGCTCACCGCGGAGCCCCGGAACTTCTCCGCCTCGGAGAACTGGTGGACGAGAGGCAGAGAGCTCATGCGCCCGCTGGAGTAGCCACGCATGTTGCCGAGCTCGACGGACGAGCGCGTGGTTGGGAGGTAGCCGTCGTCCGGCGGCATTTTCGCTTTGAACGATATCGGTGTCCGAAACACCGCTCTGACAGCGCTCAACAAAACGGCGTCCGCACGGTCGTCACCGGCTCCGAGGCGCGCCGCCGCCCGGAAGGAGGGCGTGAAAATACTTTTTGTAAGGTGCCTGTATGGGCTTCCAGTATCGGACCTTCAAGACATGCGCTTTTGGCCGGTGGCCTCCTCGGACATGGTACCTCCGGTGAGATAGTGGCCGCCAGTTCGAGACTGGGGCCGATCGAACTTGATTTGTTCGGAGGAGGAATCCGGCCAGCACGGGTACAAAGAGGGGTACCCGGAGAATCCCCAGCTGCGGAAACGTAGTGTCGCTCAAGAGGTGCGATACTGCGGGGGAGTGTAAGGTGCCTATATGGGCTTCCAGTATCGGACCTTCAAGACATGCGCTTTTGGCCGGTGGCCTCCTCGGCCACTTTTGTTTTCTAGACACACACACACACACACACACACACACACACACACACACACACACACACACACACACACACACACACACACACACACACACACACACACACACACACACACACACACACACACACACACTGTGTGGGGCTTGCGTCTACTCGGCACCTGGAACGGGAATGCGCCAGCAGCAGCAGCAGTCGCGTTGTACAGCCCGAACGGTGCAGGCGCAAAGGAGAGGAAGCTAATGTAGAGGAGGCAAAACAGGCACGCGGCGGAGATTACAGGGTGGCGTAGGAGCGCTGATTGCCCAGCCATGACGAGGTCGTTGCGACCGTCTGTGTTC